CTATATCCTCCAATTCTGACATTTGTGTCCTGTTTCTTTGTCTCCGCATTTTTTATGCTTTCTTGGTGCATCCCCTAGTGGTCTTTGTGCTCAGTCTTGTTGTAGTTAAGCCTTGATTGTTGTAGTTATCACTGGGAGGAATTGACCTCCAGGCCAACTGGCTGTGCGAATCAGCTGTGTCTGCAGTGGGAGAACTTCTGTCCTCTAGGGAGGTGCTAATCTAGCCTTTGCCTGAGGCTATCCGGCAAATGCCTCTGTGGGGGGGGGGGGGGAGAGACTTGGGCGGGGCGGGTCCCAGGGGATCTACAGGGCAAGCGGAGCGAGCAGTTATGGCTGCTCTCAGCCCCGTCCCCAGGGGCTCTGCCTCTCAGAGTCCCAGCAACCGCTGCAAACCATGGAGAGAAAGCTGCCTTTGAGTTCCGACCGAAGCCAGACAGTCCTGCTTCTCCCGGTTGAGTCTGGGTCCCTAGAGACTCGCCCGGATCTGGAGCTCAGAGAGTCTGAGGCTCCCTCCCGATTCAACAGACAACCGCGCCCTCAGCCGCCAGCCCTCTTCGCATGCACTCCGCACCTTAGTATTTTACTTCAGCACTGCGCCTCCTCTGAGTCTCGGTATGCTTTTCTCTTTCCTCCTAGTTGTAGAACTTCCACTGAGCCAGCCTTCCTGTGGTTCTGGGTGATGTCCGTTCCATCTTTTAGTTGTATTTTTGAAATGGTTGTTCAAGGCAGCAAACTCCAGCGTTAACCTATGCCGCCAACTTGGTTTCTCTCGATGTTTCTATCTCTCTCTCTCCCTGTCCCTTCCTCTCTGAAATCAATTAAGATATATTTATAAATAAATAAATAGAAGAATTATCTAGTAATGGCAGAAATGATGGGGGGCGGGGTCATTTTGTGGCTCCTAATAAAACAATGTATTCAGGTAAAGATCATCAGTGGATCCTAAAGTCATTAGGGTGAAAGGTTAATGGAATTCTTTTTATAGAGGCCAAGCTAAAATCTCCAGAACTAATGTGCCTTTTGATATGCTATAGTCAGAAATATCCACACCACTAAGAAGTATTGTTGCAAAACAAAAAACATGAATTTATTTAAGACTAGATATAATAACTAATTCACACAGTTTACAGAAAGGAGTAGAAGAACAAGGTAAGCAGTATCTCAAAGATGCAATCATTCAAATCTAAAATGTATGACATTTGGAACATCTACAAAAATACCTAGATGTATCTAAAAATCTAGTTTTGTAAAGGGAAAATCTCAAATCAGTGGGGATAAGAGACTTAAATTCTTGTTAAAACTGGATATCTAACTGAAAAACAATAAAAGTGGATTCATTCCTTATACTGTAAACCAAGATATAGTAAGTGGATTGGAGATCTAAGGTAAAAAATGAAATCATTTTGGTATTAGAAGAGTATATGAGTGATAAAATCCAGGAGTAAGGAGTACTTCAAAATCTAGAAGCAATTTAAGAAAAATTACATGAAAAATTACTAAAAATTAAAAATCACCATTAATGAAGGTGTGAAAGATTGATGAAGATGCTGATAGTTTAGGGGTCGGACTGACAACACCTGAACCCAATATGAGCCTCCTGGTGTGCTATAATAAGAGATGCACAACCTAAGAAGTATCTTGCTGCCCCTCCTCTTCCCCAAAAACCAGAATTGAACCTACTGAAGCCTCTGCATCTGTCAGTTTATAGGAAATGTAAGCAGTGCCACAAGAAAACAGTCAAATCCAGGATGTAGCACTTTTTATAAGACAAATGACCAAACTCCCCCAATATATCAGTGACAAGGAGGAGATAAAAATGAGTAAAGGAAAATCGTTATGAAGGAAAGACAAAGACTTAAAGAGACATGACAATCAAGCTCATTTTGGAAACCTTGTTTAAATCCTGGTTGGAATAAATTCACTGTAGTAAATACGGTTGGGAAATTTTGAATAGGAACTGAGTGCCTGGGTATTAAAAGGTATTAAAGGATTAGTGTTAATTTTATGAGGTACAATAATAATGTTATATAAAAGTAAATCCTTACCAGTTAGTGTTAGAAAAGTTTTTACAAGTGAAATGATATTTAAGAGTTTGTTATTAAGTATTCCAAAAGAAAATAGGGCTAAGCTGGAACAAGATTATAAAAATAATTGATTATTTTGAAATGGGGTGATGGGTACCTATGGATAGTTAAGCTGTTCTATTTTTTATATATGTTAGAAAATATGTAAAATACGTGGGGGGAAATTCACTGATGCTGCTTGGGAAAATTGTTATCCCTTTTACACTAACACTACCAATTAGAAATGGTGAGTTCTGCCTCTCCTAGCCTCTGATACCTTGTGACACATGTCTTCTTTTGTTATTACCTATTCTATTTCTGGAAACAACTTGGCAGAACAACCAGGAGGTGATTCAGCAGAGCAAGAAGTTATATGTAGTGGTGGAAGAGACACATTCCCCAAGCAGGTAATATGAACTTTTTTTGAAATGAAAAGGAGACTGCAGGCTAAAATGAAAAACTTGCAGGCTTTATAGACAGGAGATCTAGGAGTAGATCTTATCTAAGTTAGTCATTTGTGTGACTTCTTTCTCTTAGTTTTAAAAAGGGGTTAGCGGGTCGGGGGTGAAGATATAAGGGTAACTTGTCCTGCCTAACTAACAAAGTTAAGTATCAGTTAAAATAATATATAGGAATGTAGTTTATGAACTATCTGGCAGAAGGTGATAACTATGTGATAAGCAATTTTTAATTTAAAAAATAACAAATTATTTTACTTAATATAAATTATTTACATCAATTGTGGACTTGGCCAATCCCAAAACATCATTGATCTACTTGTTGCATATTTGTGTATGGTCTCTGTTTTTATTTCTTCCCTCTAGAAAAAAAATTTTATGTACATGTGAATTTATGTGTAAAAATGTTTTAAATTTACCCAAATGGGTTTATATTATATCTTGTTTTTATTCTTTTCCCCATCAACTACATTTTGGAGAGCTTTCTATTAGCACATAAAGTTAAACCTTATTTTTATTAATCCCATCTAATAAAGAGGTGATATGCAAATTGACAATCACTTCAACACAAGATGGCCACCCCCATGTGGTCAAAGATGGTCGGCCGGGAAGGGCAGTTGGGGGGGCCGGGCCAGCAGGAGGGCAGTTGGGGGTGATCAGGCCAGCAGGGGAGGCCAATTGGGGGCGATCAGGCTGGCAGGGGAGCAGTTAGGCGTCGATCAGGCTGGCAGGGGAGTGGTTAGGGCCAATCAGGCAGGCAGGCGAGCGATTAGGAGCCAGCAGTCCTGGATTGTGAGAGGGATGTCCCAGATTGGAGAGGGTGCAGGCTGGGCTGAGGGACACACACCTTCCCTTCTCCCCCTCCCCCCCATGCACGAATTTTGTGCACCAGACCTCTAGTAACTTAATAATAGTGTTCCATCATATAAATAAAATTTTAGTTAACTCTTCCCTTGTCATGTATACTATGATTGTTCCCTTTTCATTCTTTTTTGTTTATTTATATCCTCACTCAAGGATATACATATTGATTTTAGAGAGAGGGCAAGCGGGGGTGGGGGCGGCGGGACTTGAGGGGTGACTTTGATGTAGGTGCCCTGACCATGAATCGAACCCGAAACCTTCAGTATACAGGTTGATGCCCCAACCAACTGAGCCACACTGGCCAAAGGCTCTTTCTAATATAAACCATGCTTCACTGAACATCCTTGTTGAAATGTGTTGGCAAATTTTATGTCTGTATTCATGACATATATTCCTAGCAGAGAGATTGCTGTATCAAAGGAAAAATATTTATTTTAGTTTTAATAGATAATGCCAAATTGCCCTCTGGAAAATTTGTGCCAGGTTTCTACTTGCAGCAACAATATGTAAGCATGCCCATTTCTCCCTCACTCTCAACAGTGCTTGGTGTCATCAGACATTAATTTATACCACTTAATAGATTTAAAAATTTGCATTTTTTTAATTACAAGTGAGCAATTATTGACTATTTGTAATTTTTTGTAAGCTGTTTGTAGTTTGTTTTTCTGGTATTTTTCTTTGATTTACAAGAACCAAGTACTTTATAACCACTTGAGTTGATTATGAAACCTTATTTTGGAACAAACTTACTGTTTCCTGTTGGTTATCTGGGTAACTGCTGGTGTGTGTGTGTGTGTGTGGCCCTTTTTCTTCATTTGAATGAAAAAAAATCCAAGAGTTTCATAAGTTCAAAGGGTACTAATAAGAGTTTCATAAGTTCAAAGGGTACTAATATTTTTGTGCTTTATGTTGGATTTAACTAGATTGCATTCTAAAATGTTTTCAATTGGGTTTGTATCATTTTTGTGTGGTTTTGTTAATTTGATAGTTGTGCATCCTCTTCAAGACTGATTTTTTGATAGTTGTGCATCCTCTTCAAGACTGATTTTGCATTTTCTCTCATTTGAATGTGTTCTGGTTTTCATCCAGCAGTCTCCCCAGAAGTCCAGTTCGCTGCTGCCTTCAGCTTCTACAGATGAGGAAGAAGAAGGGGACACTTGCACAATATGTTTAGAACAGTGGACTAATGCTGGGGATCACCGGCTTTCTGCTTTACGCTGTGGGCACCTCTTTGGGTTTAGGTGCATTTCTAAATGGCTCAAAGGACCGACACGAAAATGTCCCCAGGTAAGGACTGTAGATAGGGACTGTGCATGTGCACAGTCATGTTAAATCAGGAGGATTCCTGGAACTCGACTAATTGTGTCCTGTTGGGCTCTTTAGTGCAACAAGAAAGCCAAGCACAGTGACATTGTTGTCCTTTATGCCCGAACCCTGAGAGCTTTGGACACTAGTGAACACGAGCGCATGAAAAGGTAGGTAAAAAGAACCTGCCTAGCTGGAATGTTCCCTTTTGGTTCCTTGTAGAAATAGGTTGTATGAGTCACTCTTAGTGTTTCTGATGCTTTACTTGGGTTGTGACTGGGGATCTCTAGGGATTGCTAGCAGTCTGTCTCATATTGTGATTTATAATATATATCTGATCATCTTCTCAAAGAGGTCTGCATTGTTTGCTTTCCATACAGCATTAAAAATGAGGATTGAGATGACAAATAATTGTGGTTTCAGCTATACCTGAATTAGACTCCAATGAATTTTCAATTATACAAGTCAATACATAGGTTTTTAATTTTAGTTTGCCAATTTAAAAAAGCTTCTATTTGCCCTGACTGGTTTGGCTCGGTGAATAGAGCATCAGCCTGCAGACTCAAGGGACCCGGGTTTGATTCCAGTCAAGGGCATGTACCTTGGTTGCGGGCACATCCCCACTAGGGAGTATGCAGGAGGTAGCTGATCGATGTTTCTCTCTCATCGATGTTTCTAACCCTATCCCTCTACCTTCCTCTCTGTAAAAAATCAATAAAATATATATATATTTTTTAAAAGCTTCTATTCTTGTAATATACAGAGTACTAACCAGTGTTGCAAAGAGACATGAAAGGGCACCAGGGAGAAGACTCTACCACTACTCCTTCTATGTGCTTGGCACCTCTTGTAAGCCTCTGCTTTCAGAGCCTGAGTGTTGTGTGTTAATTGGAACAGGTAGGTTCAGAAGGAATGGAGTAGCTGTTCCTTCTGCAGGAGCACTTAGGTATTCCCATGAAATTGGAATCAACTCTAAGACTTCAGCCTTTGGTAAATATGACCTGTGGAGATCAAGACCATGGTGTCTTAAGCCCTCTTGAAATGAAAAGCCAGAGAGAAACATACAACTCTATAATACCTTATACCTGGCTTGGGCAGCAGATCCAAGCAGAAAGATATTCTGGGTTTTTTGGTAGCCTGTCCAGATTCTAACCTAGCGATTAGATTTACTGCCCGTCTCTGTTGGCATTTTTTGCTTATGGTGTTCCTAAAACCCTTGACCAGAATTGAACCCGGGTCCTTCCAGTCTGCAGTCCAGTGCTCTAGCCACTGAACCAAACCAGCTAGGGCCAGACTTAATTTTGCCAGTCTCATGGTGTGAGGTAGTATTTACTTAAGTTGCATTTCCTCAGTTACTAATGAACATACTCTTTGTGAATTGTGTTCATATCTTTTGCTCATTTCTTTTGAGCAAAACATTGTTTCTTACTAATTTACTAGAGGCCCAGTGCATGAAATTTGTGCAGGAAGGGAGGATCCCCTCAGCCCAGCCTGCACCCTCTCCAATCTGGGACCCCTTGGGGGATGTCCAACTGCCGGTAGTCGGACATCCCTCTCACAATCCTGGACAGCTGGCTCCTAATCGCTCACCTGCCTGCCTGGTCGCCCCTAACTGCCCCCTAACCCCCGTGCCAGCCTGATCACCCCTCACTGCCTCTGCGTGCCAGCCTGATCACCCCTAACTGCCCTCCCTGCTGGCCTGGTCGCTCCTAAATGCCCTTCCCCCTGCTGCCAGCCTAGTCACCCCTCACTGCCCCCCCGCCAGCCTAATCGCCCCCAACTGCGCCCCTTCCCCACCCCCGCTGGCCTGGTCGCTCCTCACCACCCCCACCACCACCCCACCCCACCCCCCGCCGGCCTGGTCACCCCTACTGAGGATGAGTCCAAACCCAGGCATGTGCCCTGACCGGGAATCAAACCGTCACCTCCTGGTTCATAGGTCAACAGTCAACCACTGAGCCACACCAGTTGGGCTATACTAATTTTTTGTTATTTGTATACATTGCAAATAATTCTCCAATGTGTGGCTTGTCTCTAACTTGTTTATGGAATCTTCTTGAACATGAGCTTTTAATTTTAATGCAATTATCAGTCTCTTGTGCTTTTTTTGTCTTTACTGCTTTAAGGTCATAAAGATAGAATATCTTCTAAGGGTCTTTAAAATTGTTAATATTTTATATAGGCTTTTAATCTATTTAAAATCTAATATTTGGATAACCACTTGTGACAGCATGCTATATTAATAAAAGAGTCATATGCTAATTAGACCGGACATCCTTCTGGGTGACCTTCCCAACAAAGCCGGGGCTGTGAGGGAAGCATAAGTCCCGGGTGCCAGAGGGAAGCCCGTGCTGGCAGCTGGGGGAAGAAAGGCCTACTCTTTTTTTTTTTTTTAAATATATTTTATTGATTTTTCACAGAGAGGAAGGGAGAGAGATAGTTAGAAACATCGATGAGAGAGAAACATCGATCAGCTGCCTCTTGCACATCTCCTACTGGGGATGTGCCCGCAACCCAGGTACATGCCCTTGACCGGAATCGAACCCGGGACCTTTCAGTCCGCAGGCCGACGCTCTATCCACTGAGCCAAACCGGTTTTGGCAGAAAGGCCTACTCTTGCACGAATTTTATGCATTGGGCCTCTAGTTATTAAATAATATGTTCTTTCTTATCAACTCTATCTTAAATTAAGTTTCTGTGTATGAATGGACTACTCTTTTGTTCTGTGATCTGATTGTTATTTCTCCAATATATAATTTACTGTAGCTTTAAAATATGTTCTCCTACTTTGTTCCTTAAAATTGACTTTGCTGCCTACCTGGTATGCCTCAGTGGTTGAGCATTGACCCATGAACCAGGAGGTCATGGTTCGATTCCTGGTCAGGACACATGCTGGGGTTCTGGGCTCAATCCTCAGTAGGGGGCATGTTAGAAAGCAGCGGAGCAATGATTCTATCTCATCATTGATGTTTCTATCTCTTTTTCTCCCTCTACCTTCCTCTGTCTGAAATCAATAAAAACATATTTTTAAAATTGATTTTGCTATTCTTTTTTTTAAAAATATATTTTATTGATTTTTTACAGAGAGGAAGGGAGAGGGATAGAGAATTAGAAACATCGATGAGAGAGAATTATTGATCAGCTGCCTCCTGCACACCCCCTACTGGGGACGTGCCTGCAACCAAGGTACATGCCCTTGACCAGAATCGAACCTGGGACCCTTCAGTCCCCAGGCCGACGCTCTATTCAGTGAGCCAAACCAGCCAGGGCGATTTTGCTATTCTTGGCACTTTGCTCTTCCATATTAATTTTAAAATTAGTTTGCTAAGTTCCAGGAAAAGCCCTTTGATATCTTGATTAAAGTTGCATTAAATTTTTAGGGTAACTTGAGAAATGCCATCTTCATGATTTTAAGTCTTTCCAGCCATGATCATTACTATATAATATCTTTCCAATTACTCACTGTTTTCTTGTGTCTTTTACAAGTGTACTTTGCTTCATAAAGTTCTTACATACCCTCTAACTTTATTCCTAGGTTGCTATTGTTAAAATTGCTGTTGTGAAAGAATTTTTTTATTATTATTAATTTACCCAATCAGTTATATGGTATATGGGGAATGTGATTGATCTCCTTTTCTTGATATTAATTCTAGCACCTTACTGGACTCTTAATAGTTTGTAGGTTCTCCTGAATTTTGCATGAAATAAATAGAGCAGCTTTATTCCTTTCTTTCCAATTTTCATCTTTTTTTCTATCCTGTGTCATTGAAGTGGAAATCTCTCCCTTTTTTTGTATTTCATATTTTCAAATTGTCTTTAGGTACATGAAAATTTATGATTTTTATTTTTGGTGAATGTGCCTTTCATTATGCATTGTTTATCTTTATGCTTATTCATGCTTTTTAATTCTAATTGGTCTTTTGTTAGCATTTTTCCTATTACATGCATCCTATGTTTTTTACTTCAGCCTCTTTTTTGTAGTATTTTTTGAGTATCTAATCTTGTAGCTTGTTTTTTCTTTTACTCCAACAGATAACCTTAGTCTTTTAACATGTCATTTTACACTTTCATAATTGGCTCTAATCAAGCAGTGAGCTTAGTTCTGATCCCTCATTTTGCATTTGTAGTCCCCATTGCTTAAGGAGCCAAAACTCCTGGTCATCACTGCCTACCTTAACACCAAACCTAGTAGGCTCATTAGTTTAGCCGTGCATGCTACATTTCTGTATTGTTTCTGGATTTGAGATTTTTCTCTTGTTATATTTTATTCAGTCATGACATATTTACAGCAAAGTGTTTGTATCATAGCATGAACTTACTATGCTACCTTGATGGGAAGTCTTCAGTAGCTTCCTAATTTCTACCTCTTGCTGGCTTTCCCCTCTAGTACCTTACTACAGGAGCAGATGTTAAGGAAGCAGGCAGAGTTAGAAACAGCACAGTGCCGGCTCCGACTTCAAGTCCTCACTGAGGAATGCACTAAGCTTCATAATCGTGTCAAGGTAAGTTTGCCCTTTCTAATCCAAATAACTTTTGGTATAGGAATTGAAAGGAAATCTAAATATTACTAAGGTTCATCTCAGATACAAATATGATTTATCAAAATTTTCAGCAAGTAAACATGACCAACTTTATTTTTGATTAAAGCATTTGTCCAAAGCTTACATGCTTTATCTTCCAAGATCAGACGAGATCGGGCGCGTTCAGGGTGGTATGGCCGTAGACCAAAGCTTACATGCTTTATGATTAATTCTACTGCAATCTGAATTTTTAAAAAGATTAAACCAGATAATGCAAAACATAAGTTCTTTCATCTTCCTGCATCTACCAATAAAATGATGTTTTAAACAAAAACAATTTTCAACCCTATTGTTTATGATTCTGTGCTCTCATTTTTTTCATTTGCTTGTTGTAACACTGCAAAAACTACAGCAATTCTCTAGGATTTGTGTTAACATTTTCATATAATGGATAAGAAACCTTCTTATGTCGGGCTGGTGTGGCTCAGTGGTTGAGTGTAGACCCAGGAACTATAAGAGTCATCTGTTCCATTCCTGGTCAGGGCACATGCCCAGGTGGTGGGCTCAATCCCTGGTGGGGAGCGTGCAGGAGGCAGCCAGTTGTTAATGTTTCTCATCAATGTTTCTATCTCTATTCCTCTTTCTTCCTCTCTCTCTAAAAATCAATAAGAACATATTTTTAAAAAATTAAAAAGAAACCTCCTTGTATTAGATCAAGGAATTTTGCATAAGGGGAATAACAATCAAAAAAGCTACACATGGCTCTGGCCAGTTAGCTCAGTTGTTTAGAGCATCATCCCAACACACCAAGGTTGTAGGTTTGATCCCTTGTCAGGGCACATACTAGAATCAACAAATGAGTGCATGAATAAGAAGTGGAACAACAAATTGATCTCTCTCTCTCATCAATAAAGATTAAAAAATTTTTTTAAACAAAACAATACTAAACAAAAAAGCTTCACATTTATAAAATCTTTTTCATTTTAGGACTTGCAAAAACTTATTCTGCAACATCGGGATCAGATCTTACTGAACTCCCAAGGACAATTCCTAAGCGGCTCCCCCTCCAAACTGCCCGAGCACAAGTACTATTTCCAGAAGACCTTCACAGTGTCTGAGAGTGGAAACTGCCGCATTATGACCTACTGTGATGCTCTGAACTGCCTGGTGGTGTCACAACCTTCTCCTCAAGCTACCTTTGTTCCAGGTGAACAGTCTAGAACAGTGGTTCTCAACCTTCTGGCCCTTTAAATACAGTTCCTCATGTTGTGACCCAACCATAAAATTATTTTCGTTGCTACTTCATAACTGTAATGTTGCTACTGTTATGAATCGTAATGTAAATATCTGATATGCAGGATGGTCTTAGGCGACCCCTGTGAAAGGGTTGTTCGACCGCCAAAGGGGTCTCGACCCACAGTTGAGAACCGCTGGTCTAGAACAAGCATGTCAAACTTGAGGCCCACAACAAATACATTAACAATTACTCATTTATTTCAGCCCTTTGTATTTAGCATGTCTCTATTGAAATAAACCCACATTTCTATAAAAATTGAAGCTTTTGGTTTTTTGCAGCCCACATAAACTTAAACCTTGTGTATTTGGTCCGTGTTAGCCTTTGAGTTTGACATGCTTAGTCTAGAACCTCAGTTTTCATGTACATTATTGAACTCCATTTATTTCTCTTCTCTCTTTTTGGAGTATCCAGTGTTCTTGTATCCAGAACACTGTCCTCAGCCGATCAAATCAGCTTTTCTTAGTCAGTTTCCTGCTCATGTAGATACTTCAGGGTGCTGCAAAAATGTCTTTACTGTGTGTTGACTTCCTTCTGTAAATTAATTCACCAAGAGAGCAGAAATACTGAAAATCCATGATAAAGTAAAGAGAAGATGAGGTACTTGGAAATGTGCATTATTGGTACAGTCCAAGAAGTACTATATGTCCCACCGAAGTTATAGGTGCATTTTAGATTGGAAATATTTGGAAAAAAAACAAAACACTACCCTGAGGACTAATTCAAATTAAAACAAGATTTAATACTTATTTTTAGGTTTATTCAAATTGACAGATTCCTGCCTGGCTGGTCTGGCTCGGTAAATGAGAGTCAACCTTCAACTAGAAGGTCACGGTTCTGTTCCTGGTCAGGGCACATGCCTGGGTTGTGGGCTCAATCAATGATTCTCTCTTTCTTCACTGATACTTCTATCTCTCTCTCCCTTCCTCTCTATAACCAATAAAAAATGTATATTTTTAAAAACTCGCCAAACCGGTTTGGCTCAGTGGATAGAGCGTCGGCCTGCAGACTCAAGGGTCCCAGGTTCGATTCCGGTCAAGGGCATGTACCTTGGTTGCGGGCACATCCCCAGTGGGGAGTGTGCAGGAGGCAGCTGATTGATGTTTCTCTCTCATCGATGTTTCTAACTCTCTATCCCTCTCCCTTCCTCTCTGTAAAAAATCAATAAAATATATTTAAAAAATAAAAAATAAAAAAAATAAAAAAACTCATTGAACTTAACATGAGTTTATTTTAGGGGGAGAAATGACAAATTCCAAATAAAGGAATTTTGGGATACATTTATACTAATCTTCACGTTTTGTGCTTTTTTAAAAAATATGTTTTTTTTTTATTTCAGAGAAGAAGGGAGAGGAGGAGAGATAGAAACATCAGTGATGAGAGAGAATCGTTGATTGGCTGCTTCCTGCACACCCCACACTGGGGATCAAGCCTTCAACCTGCTCGTATGCCCTGACCGGGAATCGAACTATGACCTCCTGGTTCATAGGTCTATGCTCAGCCACTGAGCCATGCCAGCTGGGCCGTTTGTGCTTTTTAAGCTTAATTTTACGTTGTCTTAATGTTGAAAACCAAATCTCTTTACATGACAAATTAAATCTTTACTAAATGTTGTAGATATTTCTACTGTCTTTATCATATGCTTTCTGCCAACTGTCAGGTCCCTTTGCTTCAGCCTGATATCTTCTGTTTCCCCACTTAGAAATTCCATCAAATGCATCAAAACTATATCCCTAAACTTAAGTGTATACAGGATAGGGAATGGAATTCCTACATTATCGTATATTTTTCTATTCACTGATATTAGCTATGAGTTAAGAAGCTATCAGGAGACTTTAATTGAGGGGAAAGTAAAAGGATTGTTTATAGTGTTCCTATATTCCATCCAGTTTTTTAAAATATATTTCTTTTTTTTTTTTCTTTTTTCTTTTTTTTAAATATATTTTATTGATTTTTTACAGAGAGGAAGGGAGAGGGATAGAGAGCCAGAAACATCAACGAGAGACAAACATTGATCAGCTGCCTCCTGCACGCCCCCCACTGGGGATGTGCCCGCAACCAAGGTACATGCCCTTGACCGGAATCGAACCCAGGACCCTTGAGTCCGCAGGCCGATGCTCTATCCACTGAGCCAAACCGGTTCTGGCTAAAATATATTTCTTTATTGATTTCAGAGAGGAAGGGAAAGGGAGAGAAGGAGCGAAACATCAATAATGAGAAAGAATCATTGATCAGCTACCTCCTATACGCTCCCTACTGGGGATCGAGCCTGCAACCCAGGCATGTGCCCTTGGTCAGAATCGAAACCAGGACCCTTCAGTCCACTGAGCCAAACTAGCTAGGGCCAGATTTTTAATTAAAAGATGTATCATCAATTAAACTCTTCCCCACAAGCTAGAAAAAAAATTGTTCCTTTTTAAAATTTTTTTTATTTGATGTATCTGTTCCACTCTGCACAGCTAGCTCTTCTTGATAGCCTGCTGGTTCTAACTTTTTGTTTCCCTTGTTGATTAAGTAGGCAAGTATTCATGTTCCCTTGTTGATTTAAAGCTCATAGTTTCCCTCTTTGTCTCACTGGCTCTCCTAATTCTGTTTCAGGGAAAAACAATGAAATTTCTCCTATTTGGTTCTCTAGAGAAGCTTAAGTGTGATTCAAGGGTATTTTGACAAATTCTGTTAATGTATAATTAAAATAATAATAGATAGTAGCGCACCCTCCCTCTCCAGAGGGAGCATGCCTGCACCTTTCCCTTCCCCCTCTTCTTCCACGGGCAGGTAAGCTTTGCCTCTCTCTCTCAAAAACTTTATTAAAGTATAATTGATATACAGTAAACTGTACCTAGAGTATTCTATTTGATGATTTCTTAATATATGTATATACCCTGAAACCATCTCCACAATCAAGATAGTGAATATCTGTATCACCCCAAAAGTTTTCTCGTGCTTTTATGTCATCTATCTTCCACCTGTCCCTTTCGAGGCATTCCCAGGCAACCACCGATTGACTTTCTGTCACTATAGATTAGTATTCCTGTTCCCTTGTTGATTTAGTGCACTGAAGATTAGTGCACATGTTCTAGAATTTTATATAAGTAGTCATAAATAGTATTGCTCTTTACTTTTTTTGGTCTGGCTTCATTCAGCATAAGATTTTTGAGGTTAATTTGTATTATAGTGTGTATTTCGTTTATTCCTTGTTATTGCTGGGTAATATGCCATTGTGTGTGTGTGTGTATATGTGTATATATATGTATGTGTGTGTGTGTGTGTGTGTGTGTGTGTGTATATATATATATATATATATAATGATTTATCACTTACCTGTTGATGGATATTTGAAATGGAATATCCCTTTTTAAAAAATTTTTTATTGCTTTCTGAGAGGAAGGATTGAGTCCACAACTTGGCCCTATGCCCTGACCAGAATCGAACCTTGACCGCTTGGTTCATAGGTCGATAACTCAACCACTGACACACACTGGTTGGGCTGGAATATATTTTTTATAATAAATTAAAACCACAGGAAATTTTTATTTTCTTTATTTGACTAGCTTTTCCCCAGCAACTTACATGCCAAGAAAGGTAGACAAAGGAGCTGCTTGAAAAAGTTTGCTTTGCCCAAAGTTGACTATCAGTGACGTATCTCACTCTCCCTTGTCTTTGACAGGCTTTGGTGTTAAGATGTTCAGTACTGCCAACATGAAAAGCAATCAGTACATTCCCATGCATAGCAAACAGATCCGAGGACTGGCTTTTGGCAATCAGTCCAAAGGCTTACTTCTCTCTGCTTCCCTAGATAACACTGTTAAACTGACCAGGTGAGTGCTTTGGGGAGGAAGATAGGACCTGGGCTGTTGAATGTTGAATAGCGTGGAAATTAATATTTGTGTTATGGTGACCTTAGCTTAGGGTTTTTGTTTTTATTTTGGTCTAAAGCATTGTCTTCTGAGACCTAGGTTTATTTAATTCAAACTGTATTGCTTTTAAAAGTGGACACAGCATGTAAAAAACAATATATGTAATGTTCCATTTCTTTAAAATTATATGTTACAAAATACATCTTAAGCCATGAAGATAAGAATAACATCCTTGAGATGATGAAATGACAATATGGAGGCAGCCTTAATACCTGACACCATTGAGTTATCATACCAGCTTAAGACTGCTTATTGCTGGATCATTTTACCTAACAGGAATACTGGGAGCTCACTCTCCTTGGGTGCCATGATGACTTCTCTAATTGGTAACCCTCAGTTACTGCATTTTACTTTTTTTATTTCAGAGAAGAAGGAAGCGGGTGAGAGGTAGAAATATCAATGATGAGAATCATTAATCAGCTGCCTCCTGCACACCCCCTACTGGGGATCGAGCCCACAACCTTGGCATGAGCCCTGACTGGGAATTGAACCGTGACCTCCTGGTTCATGGCTCATGGATTGATGCTCAACCACTGAGCAACACAGGCCGGGCTCAGTTACTGCATTTTATCTTTTACATGCTTTGTGAGTGCTGTGAACCAAATCTGAGAATGATCTGTGCCTTTATCTTTTAGAAATTATTCTGATTAGATATCTGATAGTTGGCTTCCTGTTTAATTTCTGCACCTAAATCTGAGGAATTTCGTGATAGCGCTTTTCAAAAATGCTTCTGCTTAATTTTGCCCCAAAACTCAATGTATTATGTTTTGCATATGTATGTGCTGTGGGTTTTTTTTCTAGTAGTGTTATAAAATTAGGATGGGGAGGGGTTAAATACCAAACTGTTATTAAATGACTCTCTAGATCAGCGATTCTCAACCTGTGGGTCACGACCCCTTTGGGGGTCGAACGACCCTTTCACAGGGGTCGCCTAAGACCATTAGAAAACACATATATAATTACATATTGTTTTTGTGATTAATCACTATGCTTTAATTATGTTCAATTTGTAACAATGAAAATACATCCTGCATATCAGATATTTACATTACGATTCATAACAGTAGCAAAATTACAGTTAGGAAGTAACAATGAAAATAATTTTATGGTTAGGGGTCACCACAACATGAGGAACTGTATTAAAGGGTCGCGGCATTAGGAAGGTTGAGAACCACTGCTCTAGATGATATTTTCAACATGGAATATGATCACCTGTGTAATAAATAGGTAACTCTGGAGAAGGTAATGGAAATAAGATGGGAATGTACTTTGTCTATGTCCCTTTAATTTACTCTTACTTCATTACAGCTCAAGAGGAACACGTGTGTCCCCCACCCCCCCCAAAAAAATATTTTGGAAGTAGGAGTTATCTGGGCATTCCTTAGAGGAAATTGGAAATTCAAATAGTCTTAAATGTTTAGCATTGAGATGATGATCTTTACATCTTAGTTATATTTTTTATTTTTTTAATGCATAATTGTAAGAGTCTCTTATAACTTCACAGCCTGGAGACAAATACGGTGGTCCAGACTTACAATGCTGGACGTGCTGTCTGGAGCTGCTGCTGGTGTCTTGATGAAAACAATTACATCTACGCTGGACTGGTCAATGGTTCAGTTCTGGTATATGACCTTCGAAACACGAGTTGTTATGTCCAGGAATTAGTACCTCAAAAAGCCAGGTAGGGAGCCATTCACTTTTTTCCTGTGGGTAGCTTCTTTCTCTTGGACAGTTATTGTATTAATTCTCCCTTTCCAAGAGTGTTTCACAGTTGATCACAATTCCTCACAGAGGGCAGTTCTCTCCGAGTCCACTGATTTATTCTCACTTAAATATCAGTAAGATCCTTAAAGTTTGTATTCGTGATATTTCACATGGTAGAAAGCTCTGGTGCCAAGTATAACCAGCTTCATGGAATTACTCATTATCCAACATGGCAAAATGAAGTCAGATCTATGTTCAACACCCAGGTCCACTACATATGAGTGATCTCATTTAGCCTGTTGTGTTCTTCATCTATAAATTATGGTTAGCAAACACTTGCTTTTATAGCCACATGTCTAACACACGAAGAAAACAGTAAAAGGTAGCTCAATAAAAAGTGATTTAAAACTTCCCTAATGCACAATTAAACCAACTTGTTCTAAGGATACCATATTACTATGACTTATCATTTGTAATCCAATTACAGAGTTGGGAGGTTTGTGAGGTCAGCTCAAGTTCTGAGGGTGGGTGGCCATCAGCATCACTGTGGTTTTTCAGAATGTGTTGAGTACCATTTGGGCAGAATACTCCTGGACACAGTTTTCAAACAGAGGGGTTTATGACCTGGGCCAAAATGAGAAGTGTCTTAAGAAAGAATTTCCATTTCCAATTTGAATATATTTTAAAAGAGGGCAATAGGATCTAAATATAAAGATAGCACTACAATAATAATTACTTACTGAAACCTAGGTACAACACTTTGGGGTTTTCTTTTCATTTGGATGGGGTGGAATCATGCTTCAGTGGTGTGGTCTGTGGGCCTGAAGATGATTGATGTAAACTTACACAATTGTCAACCCCAGGCACACAAGGTAACTGCCATTGATGTAGAGGACTACATAGAGTAGACAATAAAATACAGCAAATGGCAAGGAAATAATATTTGTAAATATTGTTTGTTTCTCTTTGAGTTTGCTTTGGTTAGCTTCATTGTAACAGGGAAATGAAATAAGGCAGACAAAGTGATCGTTTTGGCAAGTTGAACAGAAACAAGTTCATAAAAACAATCTATAGGCTTATATTTCTGAGAGAAATCTTGACATAGTCCTGGATATATGCTTGCAAAAAGAGATTTAGAAAATCTATAAAGAAATAATTGTTTGAATTGACATTAGTTGCTTTAAGCTATATTTTAATCGAGAGGTCTGTCAGCTACAGCTTGGAAGCTTTATTTTATTTAGATGTATGAGCTGTGTTTCTTTTCTAACTTTATGTATGTGGCTAACTCTCTTTTCTTGTAATTGTGATCTTGTACTATTTAATTTCTTTGTCTATTTGTCTTCATTGCATTTAGAGCATGTGGTGTCTCTTCTGAAATTGGATATAGACTATTGTATGGATGGCCTTTTATTTCTACGGAGTGGGCTGGTCATTTTTATCAGATGTCAGAGGATAGTGACTCAGATGATTTTTAACCTATTTTATAGAGGTAGAAATGTGCTCAAGGAAGGGCTCCTGATAGTAGGGTCTGGAATAGTCCAAGTATTAGAATGTGAGGCATGGCTTCCTTTTTTTCCCTTCAGATGCCCACTGGTGTCCCTGTCATACATACCCAGAGCTGCCTCGGCTGTATTTCCATATGGTGGAGTGTTGGCTGGAACCTTGGAGAATGCTACCTTCTGGGAGCGAAAAACGGGCTCTTCTCATCAGCCTCACGTGCTGCCCATAGAGCCAGGGGGCTGCATAGACTTTCAGACAGAAAGCAGCACCCGACACTGTCTTGTGACCTACAGGCCTGGTGAGTTTTATGTCTTCTGCCTGCTCCTCACTTCACTTAAGAGAAAGGCCCCAGTGAAGGCAGCCATGTAGGGCTCTGACTAGGGCCTTAGCTGTTCCTTATTTGGGGCCAACAAAGTTAAATGGAAAATAGATGAACACCCCTGGCTGGTCTTGCTCAGTGGTTAGAGCGTTGGCCTGTGGACTGAAGGGTCCCGGGTTTGATTCTGGCCAAGGGCACATGCCTGGGTTGCGGGCTCGATCCCCAGTGGGGGGCGTGCAGGAGGCAGCCGATCAATGATTCTCTCATATCATTGATGTTTGTATCTCTCTCTCCCTCTTCCTTCCTCTCTGAAATCAATACAAATATATTTAAAAGAAAGAAAAGAAAATAGACGGCCCTAGCTGGTTTGGCTCACTGGTAGAGTGTCGGACTACGGACTGAAGGGTCCCAGGTTCGATTCCAGTCAAGGGCATGTACCTTGGTTGTGGGCACATCCCCAGTAGGGGGTGTGCAGGAGGCAGCTGATCGATGCTTCTCTCTTATTGATGTTTCTAACTCTCTATCCCTCTCCCTTCCTCTCTGGAAAAAATCAATAAAATACATTTTAAAAAAGAGAAAGAAAGAAAATAGACGAACAACCATTGTTGTGTGGGCCTAGCTAACTCAACTCACTGCCTCCAGAACCAAGTTGGAACCCCTGACAACCAACTCTACTTAAATTCATAGGTTCTTTTTAGCCTGAAAAGTATGAACCTACATTTTGATGAGCTATACTGATGGTTAGGCAGATGTTTCATCAGATGTAGTCACTAAGGTGCTATACTTCTGCTATTAGTGGCTGTGTAGTCATTTACAATTTTGTTGGAGCTGTAGAGTTGCTTCAGCAGAGTCTTTGGCCCTTTTTGTTCTTAGTCATCTCATAGGTCTCTGTCTCCAAGAAAACTTGGGGGCTCTATTTTGTTCTCTAGTTTTCATTTGCCTCCCAGCAGAACTGTAGATATGTTTCCCCTTCTATAATAACACATTTATAAAAATGTACAGTTCTGGGGCTAATAGAGTCCTCACTGGGGAAAGGGAAGAAAAATGTAGTCAGAACTGTTAAGGAAGATAAAAACCCAAGCCGAGGTCTGCAGGATACAGTGATAGTACTAAAAAGGATAGATAGTCCATTCTCAAATTGTTTCCCTCATAGGCAAAACCTATGTAGATAACCTGCTTCATCCTAGGCTAGGGTTCTGAATTTCATTTGTGCTATATTATTTTTGTTGTTACTATGTGTTTGTTTGTTTTTTAACAACAGACTATTTCTGAATGTGTGTGTCTATGTTGTTTTGTTGGTTTTTGTTGTTGTTAATCCTCACCAGAAGATTTTTTTTCCCCATTGATTTTTAGAGAGAGTGGAAGGGAGGGGGAGAGACAGAGGGAGAGAAACATCAATGTGAGAGCAACACATCAATTGGTTGCCTCCTGCACGTGCCCCGACCAGGGTCAGTGATCGAACCTGCAACCAAGGTAAGTGCCCTTGACCAGAATGCAACCCTTCAGTCCACTGGCCAGAGCGCTAATCACTGATAAACCCACCTAGAGCTTACTGTTATGTTTGCTTTGTTAGCTATGCTTGATAGTTTAATAAATTGAGGCTTTTCCACTCGACTAGGTTGTAAGTGTCTGAGGTGCTTGGTTAATTTATTTGGACCATCTTCATGGAGCAATACGTTTTTCTATCCCGTAGATAAAAATCACAACACCTTACGAAGTGTTCTGATGGAGATGTCCTACAAGCTGGACGACGCTGGAGAGCCAGTCTGCTCCTGCTATCCTGTACAGACATTTCTTGGGGGGCGCACTTGCAAACTACTGACCAAAAATGCTCTTTTCCAAAACCCAGAGAAGAGTGGCAGCATCCTGGTGTGTATTGGGGATGAAGCATCATATTCTGCCCTGGTGAGCCTTTTATATTTTTGTAGAGAAATGTATAAAGCAAAAAGCCAAAGTTCTCCTTCATGATTATATACATCTGCATATGTGTGAGTGAGTATGTATGTTTGCTTAGTTTATTTTTCTTGTAAGTCACACTTTACTACTGCTTTCTATGGTTTGCTCTTTTTAACTTCCTGTCTTGGCTCTTTTCATTTCAATATCTGTAGACTCACTTCATTCTTTTTACATAAGCTAAAGTGTTACTTGGGCTGTGCTTTGAATCTAAATTTAAAAAAAAAAAAAACACTGCTGAAACCCCTATAAAATAATGATTCAGGCATCAGCTATATCAATAGATGGAAGGTTAGTGGGAAATTTCATAATGGGGGGAGGAGTCGGCCTGTTACCACCTGAACGTATCGATCAACCTTAGGTGGGTGAGCTTACCAGATAATGTCCCTCTTGATGTAAAGCAATATGAAGCAGAGGGCGCCTTCTGTGAGATGTTTTTGAACTTGAATCCAAGCCTTACCTAAGAATTTAAGGGATAAAAGGACATCAAATCAGAAAAAAAAAATAGGATCGATGAAGCAGATATAGTAAAAGCTTAATCAGCTGTGTAATGGGTTTTAATACTTTAAATTTTTTATTTCACAATAAAAAGTATTTAAAAGAAAAAGAAAACATCAATTAGAAGATGATAGGTTCCATGAAGACAGGAACAAGGATTTTGTCATATTGTTCCTATATTCCTAAAAGACTGCCAGCACATAGATTCAAGGGATGAATGCTAGCAAGGCTTGATTTTCAGATCTACGCACAGATAAACTAATTGTGGATTATAGTAGGTGATCATACTGCATCATATCAGGTGTGCTGATTTTATGCATCCTGATGGGGGGTAGGGGATTTGCTACCCAGGCAGTGCTCTCTTTGCATCTCTTTCAAAGTGGATGAGAAAGAGTCCCCTTGCTTAATTGAATGAGTTTTTACCTTTTATCTTTTTTTGTCTTCTATAGGTATGGGATGCTAGCAGCGGCTCCTTGCTGCAGGGTCTGCCGACTGATCAGCCTGTCTTGGACATCTGTCCATTTGAGGTGAACCATAGCAGCCACGTGGCTACCTTAACAGAGAAGATGGTTCAGATCTATAAGTGGGAGTGACCATGGTCTTGAAACTTACATTGCATTGCCACTGGTTAATGTTCAATGTTGTTTGCTAGCATCTAACAGCCTTGAGCAAGATCCCTCCTTATTGTCTGGCCTAGAACTTTTGGGAACATGATTCCTTTGGTTTAGTATGATTGTAAGACTCCAGGTTACTAAAACTACAGATTGTGTATTATGTCCATCAAAAGAGTAAGTGACTGTTATTGTCTACATTGTCCATTTCTTGGGTTAAAAGCCTTCATGAGTCTTTGTGGAGAATCGATACTTTCATTCAGACTGTTTGCTGGACCGCAGAGAGTATCTTCCCAGCAGTCATTTAGGATATGATTGTGCACCAACCATGTTCTAGGCCCTGTTTGAGTGGTCTTGTCACATGGGCTATTTGGTTTGGGAATGCTTATGTCCCTAAAGGGACTAACCATTTGATGCTGCTTGGATGCAAGTGGATGCAGAATTTTTCAGTTGAACACAAGCGGGCATTATAGAACCTTGTGTAGGATTTTATCTATTTCTGACCTTGTGGGCTGACATTTTAGTAACTCAGTCTCATCCCCATAGAAGCGTGTGGTAGAGCACATCTGGTCTATTTTGTGGCAGCCACGGTTATGTTCCAGTTGTGCAGTTGCTAGAATATGAGCAAGCTCTATGATGGAGGCAGCTGTAATGAGCTATTGACAACTTTCCTAATGCTGAAGGCATTCAGCTCATTGCATTGTGAGAGCCAAGGAAAGAGGCCAGTTGTTTGAGCAGTGGGGAAGACATTTTTGTAGCCAGCCTAAGATCTCAGGGATAGTTTTATACAAACCAGTGCTTTGAAGACCATTCCTTTTCCCTCTCATTAGGAAAAGATGAGCAAGCAATATGTTAAAGCTCTTGAATCTCTTAGTATCATATTAGGAGTAATGGGCTAACTTTGCAAAAGAGACTTACAAAAGAGAAGCTGCTCAGACTGCTGCTGAAAATAGGAGAAGGGCCTTTCACTTTCAGTTCTGAAAGTTCCCATCTGAATAAAGCCACCCCTTCGGAGTGAGAGGCTGTTCTTGAGCATGTTTAGAATTCCCATGTAAAGCCTTCCCCATGTGAAAATGATGTCTGATTCCAAGTTTCATTCATATACATATATATATCATATATATATATAGAAAACACATTTTTATTGATTTTTAGAGAGAGAGAGGAAAGGAGAGGGAGAGAGAGAGAAACATCTATGTAAAAGTGAAACATTGATCAGCTGCCTCCCGCAGGCCCCCCTTCTGGGGATTGAGCCACACCCTGGCTATGTGTCATGACCAGCAGTGGAACCTGCAATTCTTCTGTGCACAGGATGAAACCCAACCAACTGAGCTACACTGGCCAGGGCCCAAGTTTCTTTGATTTGCCTCTCTTCCTAAACTTTGCTAAGTGTTGGGGGAAATGGTTATTCATTTTAACTCTGGAATGTCCACATTTGAGTCCTGTACTTTTCTCCAGTAGAGGGCTCAGGAGTGTGATTTTTCTTAAAATAATTGTAGGAACGTTATTATTTTTATTTCAAAATAGTTCTGACCTGTCATCTCCTGAGCCATTTCCAGCATTTCTCACCAGGAAGGGGTTATTGCAGATTTCCCCAGAGTTCCAAATTCTACTTGTGCCTTTTAAAAATGGCGTCCTCCTATTTATTTAAAAAAAAAAAAAAGCCAGTTTCCAGGGTCTGGGAAAGACCCCCCCCCCTTTCCTCAGAGGATATACTCCTTTTGATATGTTGATGATTTGATTGCCCAGGCCTAAAGCTTCAGTGGCAGAATGGGATTTGAATTAAAAAGCAGAGCACATCTGGTTTCAGTAGACTGTCACAGAGAGGGATGCAGGTGGTCAGACCCTGTCTGCCTTTTGTCTTAGACAGCATTAGTATTTGAAGTACACTCAAGGGATGCCGATTGATTGGCCTAAGCATAGGAACCAAGGGACTCATTACTAGGGAGGTTGGGTGAATCTCAACTCTTGCCAGTCCTTGGGTTCCTTCAGTAAATTTGTATGTTTTAGAAACAAATTCATGTGACTGGTTTCTCCAAAGGGAAAAACCTCACCTTTAGCCTCCCTGCCCCCCTGCACCTGGCAGGAGATTGCATTTGTTGATCCAGGCTCTGGTGTCCTGTATAGCGCCAGGCCCTGCCATGTTTCTTCATTCCTGTCTCCCAGGTTGTTTTCCCATTTGAGGATTTGGAGTTAAGCAAACTCAAAACATCTTGTTTTATATATCCTTGTACCTGCTTTGAAAACAGAGCAATGTTTGTGTTTTATATTTTATTGTTAATTTGAAAATAAAGAATTTGCTGTGTGTAACAGCTCCTGGTGTCTTTTGTCTCTTTGACTGTCAGAGGCAGGAACATGACTGCCTCTTGGGAGAAGGCTGTGATCCCAGCCTGGTAGATTTCTTCATTTCATACAGTACAAGGTCTGAGTTACACAGTTTCCCTGGATCTGAAGTAAACATATTATTGAAATTGATGAGCTATTTGAACCTTTAGCTAGCAATTCTATTTTACTGTTGCTAGTAGGGAGCTGTGTGCTTGCCTCTTAAGAATCCCCCTTCACTGGTCTTTTGTTTATTCTGAGATCTAAGGGTCTAAATCCTGCAAACTGTATTTCCCAGACTCCCTTTGTCTGCTAGCTTCCTATTAGTTTCTTTGAAGCCAGGAGACTAATGTGGGGGAATACGAGAAGAAAGCTTTTCTGGTGGTGGCAGCAGCATTGGACAAGTATGGGCTCCTGGGTTCTGCTCACTACAGTTATGGCTACTTATCTCAGCTTCTTTGTTCTGTTCAGGAATTTCTATTGCCATAAATGATGGCGTGTAAGCATTAGACTGGAAAGGCTGAAAATGTTTTTCAGCTGAATAGCAAATGGAGTTTAGTAGATTCCAGGAGGACTGAATCCATAGGTAAAGTTTACTGTTGTCTTGGAGCCTGGTGTTCCTTCAGAAAATGACAGAAGTAAACCCCAAATCACAAAAAAAAAAAAAAAATACTGTTCATTGGTAATAATCTCTACTGTTTATCCCTTAATAATTTACAAAGCCCTTTCCCAATATATTAATTTTCAAGCAATGTTATAGAATAAGTATTATTCTAATTTATAGGGGAAGAAATAGGTTAAAATATTAAAGGAAAATGACATTTAGGTATTTAATTTTACATATCCTAGTCTTCCCACTTTATACTTTCCATTACTGTCAGCTAAGTAGGAATTGGGAAACCTGGGTAAAAGCTCACTTTCATTTTTTGATATCTCTGTCTCCAAAATAGCCTGGGATAATTTCCCATAACTTCTACATTTAAAATGAAAATAGCCTGCCTGGCCTGTGTGGCTCATGAACCAAGAGGTCTCTGGTTCAATTCCTGGTTAGAGCACATGCCTGGGTTGCAGGCTTGATCCCCGGGAGGGGGTGTGCAAGAGGCAGCTGATCAATGATGATGTTTCTATCTCTTCCTTTCTCTCTAAAAATCAATAAAAACATATTTAAAAATGATAATGAAATTAAAATAGCCTGGCCAGAGTGGCTTAGTTTGTTGAGCATCACCCCTTGCACTCAAAGGTTGCTAGTTCAATTCCTGGTCAGGGCACAGGTTGTGGGTTCAATCCCTGGTTGGGGCGTGTACAGAAGGCAATCAGTTGATGTTTCTTTCCCTGTCTCCCCTTCCTCTCTCTAAGCATGTCTTCAGGTGAGGATTTAAAAATGAAATAAAAATAAAGCAGGTAATGATGCACATTATTGTGACTCTTAACACTCTTCCAAATGCCCTCATTTGTCTTGGATTTCTGGGTACTGAGGCTGGGAACATTACTCTTCAATGAGAGAGTCTGACATGGTCTAGAGCAGGGGTCCTCAAACTTTTTTTTTTTTTTACAGAGAGGAAGGGTGAGAGAGAGAGAGTTAGAAACATCGATGAGAGAGAACATCGATCAGCTGCCTCCTACACATCTCCTACTGGGGATGTGCCTGCAACCCAGGTACATGCCCTTGACCGGAATCGAACCCGGGACCTTTCAGTCCGCAGGCCGACGCTCTATCCACTGAGCCAAACCAGTTTCGGCCTCAAACTTTTTAAACAGGGGGCCAGTTCACTGTCCCTCAGACCGTTGGAGGGCCAGACTATAGTTTAAAAAAAAAACTATGAACAAATTCCTATGCACACTGCACATATCTTATTTTGTTTTTGTTTTTGTTTGTTTTTCACATATCTTATTTTGAAGTAAAAAAACAAAACGGGAACAAATACAATATTTGTATTTGCATGTGGCCTGCGGGCCGTAGTTTGAGGACCCCTGGTCTAGAGCTACCTGTTGAGTGCTCATCACAGGTCAGGCGAAGAGGTAGAACTGCTCTGGCTTGTTCCCAGATCCATGGAAACTAGGGAGTAGCTTAGTAACCCAACTTGTGTGGAGAAATAAATCTATGTGGTCATGAAAATATGCCTCAGATCTCCAACTGTGTGGAGTGTAATTGACCAATGTCCCAGCTGCTGTGCTCTGAAATCCATTGTGTTCACTCTGAGGCCACACTCTCCAAGCCTTACTCCCAAGCAATGACTGAATGTAGCAGAGAAGTTAAAGCAGGCTTATTCCTGGAAAGCTCTCCTCTTAATAAGTCTTCCATAGCTAATCCTGTCTGAAGATTGCTTCTACAGAACCCAAAATAACCCACCAGAAGGCAAATAGTGGAGTAGATAATGAAACCCAGACAGTCTAGGCTGGTTTTCCTAACCACAGTGCTATCTCCAAGGCAGAAAATACATAGGAAGTGCTCAGAAGATAATCTATAATAATAAAAGCATAATATGCTAATTAGACCAGACATCCTTCCAGGATGACAGCCGCTGGGGTTGCGAGGGAGGGACCCAGGCAGCTGCCGCCCACAGCTGCAACAGCCTACACTTGTACAAATTTCATGCATCAGGCCTCTAGTCCTATCTAATAATAGACAAAGATGGTAATTGACCGTACCTTCGCTATGCCTCCCATTGGCTAATCAGCATGACATGCAAATTAGCCACCAACAAAGATGGCTAATTTGCATACTGCAGGCAGGGCGGGAGAACACGAGCCGCCATCCGGGCCCCGTGTGCAGCCCCGCCCCCAGCCAGGACCCCCATGTGCCGCCTAAGCCTCTCCCCCAGCCAGGACCCCCGTGTGCCGCCTAAGCCCCTCCACCAGCCGGGACCCCCGTGTGCTGCCTAAGCCCCGCGCCACCTAAGCCCCGCCACCAGCTGGGACCCTATGGCAATCCGAGAGCAGGAAAGTGCCGCCCCTGGGTCACCATGGCGATCCAGCGATCAGTGAGCAGGAAAGTGTGGCCTGCAGGCAGCACCCAGCAAGGCCTGCTCCTGGGTCACCATGGGAATCCCAAAGCAGGAAAGTGCGGCCTGCAGGCAGCACCCAGGAGGGCCTGCCCCCAGGTCTCTGCGGGGATCCGGCGATCCGTGAGCAGGAAAGCGCGGCCTGCAGGCAGCACCCCACCCTGGCCACAGCTCAAGGGAGAGTACAACACGCAGTGGAGGCCAGGAGCCTGAGAGATCAACACAGAGGGGCACCTGCTCCAAGCCTCCACGGTGTGGCTGGGGGCAGGCCCCCAGCAGACACATACACACACACACACACACACACACACACACACACGGAGCGCCTGCTCTGAGCCTCCTACGCAGCTGGGGGCAGGCCCCCAGCGGGGACACACACACACACACACACACACACACACACACACGGGACGCCTGCTCCGAGCCTCTGCTGCCAGACTGTGGCAGTCAGTAGGACATCCACTGAGGGCTCCCGGACTGTGAGAGGGGCAGGCTGGGCTGAGGGAACCCCACCCCCCGTGCATGAATTTCGTGCACCAGGCCTCTAGTCCTATATAATAAAAGGCTAATATGCAAATCGACTGAACAGTGGAACAACCAGTCTCTTTTTTTTTTTTTTTTTTTTTAAATATATTTTATTAATTTTTTACAGAGAGGAAGGGAGAGAGATAGAGAGTTAGAAACATCGATGAGAGAGAAACATCGATCAGCTGCCTCCTGCACATCTCCCACTGGGGATGTGCCCGCAACCCAGGTACATGCCCTTGACCGGAATCGAACCTGGGACCTTTCAGTCCGCAGGCTGACGCTCTATCCACTGAGCCAAACCGGCTTCGGCGGAACAACCAGTCTCTATGACGCACACTGACCACCAGGGGGAAGATGCTCAATGCAGGAGCTGCCCCCTGGTGGTCAGTACTCTCCCACAGGGGGAGCACCTCTCAGCCAGAAGCTGGGCTCATGGCTGGTGAGCACAGCGGCAGTGGTAGGAGAGGCCAGTGGGGAGCGGGCCTAAGCCATCAGTCAGACATCACCCAAGGACTCCCAGACTGTGAGAGGGCACAGGTCAGGCTGAGGGACTCCCCCTCCCCCTGAGTGCATGAATTTTATGCACTGGGCCTCTAGTTACTAAATAAATGAATATAAAAATGAGATGTTGATAAAGGGTAAATTTTCCCAGGGAGGCTTCAAAATGTTGAGACTTTTGAGATAAACATTAAAGGATAAATAATTTTAGGATGAAAGTGTTAGAACTTCATGGGTCAATGTTATTTCCAGTTTATCTTTTCATTAAAAAAATAAAGCATGGTTTTTAATGTTTTTATTTACCTTTTTGTTGAATTTTAGGAGCTCTTTATATATTCTGGATATTAACTTTTTATCAAATACATAGTGTGAGAATATTTTCCCCCATTCTGTGGTTTGCATTTCCATTCTATCGATACTGTGTTTTGATGCATAAAAGTTTAAATTTTGATGAAGTCCAATTTATCTATTTTTTTTCTTTTGTTGCCTAATTGTCTTACAGCTTTAGTTCTCACCTCTAGGTCTTTGTTCCTTTTTCAGTTAATATTTGTTTATAAAGTGAGTTAAAAGTCCAACTTCATTTTTTTGCATGTGGGTATTGTCTTCCCAACATCATTTGTCAAAGAAACTGTCTTTTTACTTAAATGGTCTTGGCACCCTTATCGAGAATCATTTGTACATGTGAGTGTTTCTTTCTGGGCATTCTATTCTAGCCCATTCGTCTGTATGTCTTTCTGCCAGTACCACACTGTTTTGATTACTGTAACTTTGTAGTATATTTTCAAATCAGAAAGTGTGTGTCCTCATCTTTGTTCATTTTTTTCTGAGACTTTTTGGCTATTTTGGGCCTCTTAAGATTTCAAATGAATTTTAAGATGGGTTTTTTATTATACAAAAATATAATTGGGATTTTGATAGGGATTACACTGAATTTGTAGAGTGCTTTGGGAACTATTGATAACA